AATTTGCCTAAACTGATGCCTCATACTCATCGATTCTATAACAACTCACTGAGTGGCATGGAACACGGGTAAATAACTGACATAACAAATTATGCGCTAGATAGGAAATATAAAGAAACTTTTTATCATGAGGATGAGTGAAACTACTGATTTAAAATAATGACAGGGCTTAAATCCCAAGCAGGACTTAAAAACACTAATTTACCCTCAGTATCTTCACGTCAGAGATGATTAAGAACGAAACCGACCTTGCGACGTGACAGAATCAGACATCAAAAGGTAAACCGGTAACAGAAGATAGATAGGAATCGAATCTGACGCAGTGTGGGAACGCATTCTGAGACTGACTTCCCGAGAGACTTGCAAATTGCTGTGGAATATCATATATTATTTATGATCACACTTCTATGATTAAACTCATTGACGTTCGTTAAACTAATGAAACAAAGATGTCATTGATTTCCATTTAGCATGGTCCCCTTCATCATTGTGCCAACTGTCATATAATTCAATAGATACTACTAATTTATTCAAATATTTTACTGGGCGTCATGTCAAGTTAGTTAATAATTGATTATGTAGTGTATGATAATAGTGTAGTTGTAATAATGTGGTTGATAATTAGTAAATAATTGCTAATGTTTATTTTATTTGGACTTTACTTATTTGTACTTTGAAGCGGTAAAAGTCTCAAAATCGATTTCTCTCCATTCACTGTGAAACTAACCAGGAATATAATATTATGTAGATGCAGTTGGCTTTTATTTGTAGAAACAATGAAGAATTTCATGTGATTTTTTTCCATCTTTTTCCATGTGCTTTATTCCAATCAACACACCTTTCAAGATCAGTAATATTTTGTACGTTTTAGGTTTTATAATTGTTTTCATTAAGATCTTTATCACTATCGCTTATGTACAGGTTTGTTCTGTACACTCCAACTTTTATGTGTTATGATTTATACAGTTTAATGATTCGTATCTTTATGAAATAACATAGATTTAGTTGTACCTGCGATGAGACAGAAATGAAGAGATGAAATATTGGGCTTAAATAGTCCGCCTAACAGAAAACTCGTGGTAAGATTGTAGTGACAAAGATGGCAATCTTTGTCAATTAAGGTCAGCTCGTCGGCAAATGATCGTCACGAAGTCTCTGATACAGAATCGACGCACAGGTCAGTTGTTGCAACGAAACGAGGCAGGATTTTGGATGGCGGTTGAAGAGAGGATCCCTTGTTTAGGGCGATCAAGCTTAGAGTATTCCATAAAAATATCACAAAGGATAGAAAATGTTGATTATTGCGATTAGTATGGTATATTTGTGTAAGCAGCTCTTATACTTAAACGAGTCAGAAACGATATTGAGCATGCTGATGAAAATAAGCCTTCATAACCTGCTTGAAACAATATAACTTTCATTAAGATGCGGGGCAAAGATGGCTTATTAGCATAACCGCCACTATACTTACTCAGAAAGTGAGTAGGGCCTGTCGATTCTTGCACATGCCCAAGAATCCGTCGATCCCCGCAAACTATTTGTCTTGGTACACAACATTCATTTCCATATCTCCGTAAATGGAGGAACGCGTAGAGTATTTTGCAAATTAAAGACTAAGGATAGGCCCAAAAACATTGCCCGGTTAACACACTCAATTTGCCATCCAATAGAGAGAAGTAAAAACAACAAACTTATCTCTTCTAACTTTTGAAGTAAATAATCATAATAATAAAAAAAAAAAACTCACTATAACCCTAATCCAAAAAAAAAGGCGTTTAAAAAACAAATTTCAGGAGATTACAAGCTCGTCTTGAGTGAGTTTGTGACAAGACGCCCGAATGGTGAGGGGAGAAAAGATAGAGAACTGAAAATAAAAAAGGCTTGAAAAGATGTCAGAAAATGCTATGCACTTTGGCCTTTTCTCATCCTGTAAGGTAAAACCGATTCTCCAAAACAGAATTAACACGTTCAAAAACCATTGTAGGGGTCTAGAACTGAATTTCATCCCAGGAGTTTCTTTAAAAACTCTCCATCCAGATTTCTGTTGTTAATTGTCGTAGCCGTGACGGGTAAATTTTTCAAGGGCTCAACGATTTACGATCTATTTTTTTTATTATCAAACAACCCGGTGCTCGACACCTGTTTAAGAGAAACAAAGACAAAACAATTTATGCCAATCTTTCATTCAGGAAACCCATTAAAAATGTGGAAAAACGAAAAGAAGCTACTAGAAATTGATTGCAAAGACGCACACCGATGTGGTAATCTGGGAAGTTTTATCTGTTTAAAGAGTTCCATGATCCGGACTCAAAATAAAAGTTATTCTAATGACTTTTTCCTATAGATGGCAAAATGTCACTTTGTTCCTCTTCACTTTAATCACCGCTGCCAACATTGGAGGCTTCATCTAAAATCACACCAGTCTACGAAAATATCTCAAGGAGCTCTACAAACACGTTAAAATGTATAACCATAGCAAATATTCACTGAAAGTGAAAAGATAAAATCTGGCTTCAAAATATTAATGGCGGAAAGTACCTCTCACAGTTTGTCTGTCTTTAAAAGAAACGTGATGAAGAAGTTATTTTTCTTTCCCACGAATTGCATGGAGGGTTCGAGTCGACATCACGCCCCTAAATTATAGTGATTTTGATGAAGCAATTTTGAAAACCACAAAACACTCCATAGAACCACCGAGAGAGCCTACATGGCAGCTTATTTTTTCAGTATTAGTTCACCAATTAAAATTTCAAAGGTAAGCAATACTAAGAGAACGTAAAAAAGTTAGGGTTTACAAAAGACTAAAAAAATTGCCTTATGACGGCGGACACTTTAAGCCCTCTAGTCTAAAGTATGCATCCCGAATGCATAAATAAAGGATAATTAACTAAAAATTTCAGTAAAAGTAAAGCAAGTAAATTACTACATTGAGTTTAATCCGCTAAAATAACTGTCGAAGTAAAAGACGCGATGTAACCTCGCGACGACTGGTAGCAGCAAAAGTACCCTTAACTCGGCTTGTCATGATCTGAACCACACAAAATCCAACATGCAATATGGATCAAAAACGTGATACAATATGACATGTTTGTCCTTTTATTATTTGAGACCTCAGCTGATTTCTTCTCGAAGACGTTTTTTCTATTCGAATCCGTCGAAGCGTTTATAGCGAAAGCATCTGCAATCAAATGGCTATGGCATAATGAAAAGCGTATAGAACTATTAAAAGCTTTATTGATTTGATCTTTTCAATAACACACAATATAGAGAGTGAAAAACAGTGTATATAATTTTATCACATAAACTGCGGTGTTATATAAGGATTTTCCAGCCCTGAGACAAGCCGTAATAACACACGTGAAAAAATATCGTATTTTTTCACGTGTATTGATATAGCCAACCAGCTGCTTACACATCACTCGTCTTTGGCGCCACTCGATCAGGTTGATGAATGAACGGCGAAGCCTTTACGATTCTCAATACAAGCTGTCACAAAATCGACATCTCGACATCTCAATCGTTCGCTGCGCTCACTCGTGAGCTATCGAGGTAAACACTCGAAGGGAAATTCCATATCTACGCACACCTATGTACTATTCTCTATGTGCTAAACATGATACTTAAATTTTCTTTTTAATCTGTATATTTAACACACAAGGTACAACACTTATTTATGATTACTGGCTATATCTTTTTCATGAAGAGGGGATTCTTAAAAAACAAACAGAACTATACTCACAAATTTTCTTCTGGCGAAAAATGCTTATATCAGCGGAGAGAGCTTACATGCAAAATACCTTCATTGCTCTTAATAAACTTTTAGAGCACAACTTAGCACTCAAGATGACAGAAATGTGAGATAATTGCGAATGGCCTATGTTTCACTGCGTCGTGACTTTTCTTTGTCCGCTTTGGAGGGGAGCAACAAAATTTCAGCGGAGTCAGAGAGCAAAGGGAACCTTTTTTTCGCGAAACACTGAGGGAAAGGGGAATGATTTAAGTCTTGTTTCACACATTTACAATCCTTGAGGGGGCTTCTAAAATTTTCAACCTTCCTCCTCAAGAATCTCGATACTTTTATATCACGTTTTACGGAAAGGTAGCCTTCTTTGAAAAAAAGCAAATTTTAGACGCTGGACTGGCAAATGGAGCAGGCCATCGGGGTGGATGCTTCCTTAAGAGGTCTATTGTATATATCACAGGTAAAATTTTAAAGCTATTCTACCGAACGAAAATGTATCCCATGGCTTTAATGTATTTGTCACCATTGTCAGGGTACATAATAGCAACGTTACCGCACGAGTTATTATCGTCATATGATCCTGCGCCACCAAAACCAATTCTTGAATCACATAGATCGCAGAAATTCAAATACTCGTTGGAAACGATCCCAATCCTTGTTTTAGTTACTATACCGTCACAATTGAAGCCCTCCATGTTGCAGTGAAGCTGCAAGGAAGCCTGCGAGCCTATCAGCGTCTTCCATGTGTCCCGACCCAATGAGGTATTTCGGTATTTTCCATCAGCAAGCAGTGAGTACAAAGATTCAGCCTCTCTGTTATGTAACGTTTACGGAAAGGTAGCCTTTTTAAAAAAACAAATTTTTTTAGATGCTGACGACTGGCAAATGGATCAGGCCATCAGGGTGGACGCTTCCTTAAAAGGTCTGTTGTACATATCACAGGTAAAATTTAAAAGCTATTCTACTGAACAAAAATGTATCCCATGGCTTTAATGTGTTTTTCACCATTGTCAGGGTTCCAAACAGCAACGTTACCACATGAGTTATTATCGTCATATACTCCTGCGCCACCAAAACTAATTCTTGAATCACATTGATCGCAGGCATTCAAATACTCGTTAGAAACGATCCCAATCCTTGTTTTAGT